CCCCCCCCCCCCCACAATCCCCCAAGTACTTTTTTATTGCAGATTCAGGGTCCTCTAGTGCAGCGCAGCACAACCCCACCTTCAGAAAAAAAAATAAAAAATCCTTGCTATGTTTTCGCGACGCCCGGCTCAGCCGGGCGGACCCCCCCAGGCCCAACCGGCCGGGGTCCGCCCGGCTGGGCACGCCCGGCCAGGCGCCGGCCCAGCCTAGATCAGAAGGGGTTTCTCAGCCTTTTGGCTAAGATCCACTGTAGTATCTATTCTCATCAGTTTTATATTTCATCCATGGTCTATTAAACCATAAAAAAAAAAGAACGCGCAGGTTCCCATATGATTTCAAAGATAGGTCTGCATTTGAGCAGTTCTTGTGTGCACCAGATGAGCTACCATCATGGAAGCACCCAAATACAACCCCGGTCGTGACAGTTGTGTTTGGGGCAGATTTCGTTGTAGACACAGTGATAACAACGGGGAATTGTATTTGGGCGAAGATGCTAAATTCAAATAATGAATTTCATTTAAGTTCATTTGAATTTTCAGTTGCAAAAGAGAGCAAAACAAAGAAAGAAACAGGGTACCATTCAGTTGCAGAAGTCACCGACCTTTAGGCAATTCAAACGGACTCTATTCATCAAAGTCATCAGGATTGAAACACAGGTTTGTTTCAAAAGTTCATGGGTGCACCATTTAGCCACTTCGGCTGGGTAGCATGCATCATCTGCACAACATAGTATGCTGCAGTTCTTAGTCTTGTTGAGAAATGCGCCACAAAAACCCGGATATTATAAAAAATGATCCGCCCAAGGGAAAAAAAAAAACCACTAGTTTTTATTAATATACGTTTAAATGTGCATATTGCAGTTCGTCATCTTCTTTTGCTCAATTGAGTTTGATATCAGATTAAATCAACTGATACAGAATTTCCTCTTGTTGCTGCAATCTTTCATTTTGCAGGGCTGGAAGTAGGGAAGCCCATCGCTGGCTCCAGCAGGAAGACACTATAACGAGCCTAGTTTTATAATTTCATGAGTTATACAACTATCACAAGTCCCATTCAGTCTGAGGCAATGCTGTAACAAGCACCTTTGATTCAGTAATTCTTTGCTCTTTTGAAGGATTTGCTTTTGTGTCGACGCTGCAAGCGGCTTAATTTTTTTGTTAGGTGAATGATACTTTCTTGCTCATTGTTGTCACTCTGAAAGATTTTGCTTGCGCTTTCGAATATGGACACGAAAAGGAGTTGTGCAGCATCAAGTCAAATGACTCGGATCATGCACCCCATGACAGTCCGAATGGTCAAACCGACGTCTGTACCGACTCAGCTATTGAAAAGTAGCTCGTCTTCCAATCCTGAAATGTCAAAATAGAAAAAGAAGGTTGAGGGCGGATTGAAGAGAGGAGGGGATTTTTATGATTACCTTCTCAAGGAAGAGAGTGAGCAGAGCACCTTGTCGGAAAAGGTTTGCTCGTGTTTGTACCCGTGATGGGGCACCTTTAAAGATGCAAGGCGACAATTATGTAAGTTATAAGAACTGCTTTACCGCATATACATTTACGACAGCCAACGGGACAAGTTCTTTGAATAACCATAAGTGCCAATTAGAGAACAAAGATGTAGGGGCCATGCGCCGTGATGGGGCACCTTTAAAGACGCACGGCAACGAGTATGTAGGTTGTAAGAACTGCTTCACCATGTATGCATTTACGACAGCCAACGGGACAAGTTCTTTTAATAACCATAAGTGCCGAGTAGAGAACAAAGACGTAGGGGCCATGCACCGTTTCGCAACGACAGTGGAACACACAACCGCACAGAAAAGGAAAGTAACCAAAGTCATTGCTGCAATGTGTTGTGATGATCTCAGACCTTTCTCCATGGTCTGTGATTCTGAATTTCAAAATGTTGCTCAACAATTATTGATGTAAGTATTGCCAGCAGTAGGAATGAAGACAGGTAAATTGCTGCCAGCGGCAAGTACTGTGGAAAATGAAATAATGTCACCCGCTGTGGCAATTAGGAAGCTTTTCAAAGGCGTCGTCATGGATCATTTCAAGGACAGGATCTTGGATGATTTCACCATCCATCTTTGAACAGATTCAATAAGAAAGAATTTGTTTATGACTATCACCATGATAGAAGTTCTACACTGCATGGCAGAACTCTTCAGGTCAAAGCATTTTATGACGAGTCACACACAGTTCCCCTTGTTTCGAAACCTTTTCGTGAGTGTCTTCCAGAATTTGGCTGCAACGACCCTGAGCTATGCTATGTTTGCTCTGACAGCGGTTCCAACATGGCTGTGGTCGGGGGTATTAGGAGTGTCTACAGACTAACCTTCCGCTGATCATAAAGATTGCCACCATCTTGATGACTGTGTTGACGAAAACGACCACCACAAGCAATGGACTCGGATCTGCTCCTTTCTACAGGTTCCCTGATCATGCCCCATGATCTCATTGACAGTTGCAAAGATCTTGTCCATGTTTTCAAACAAAGCGAATTCGCAAAACCGTCTAAAAACAACTCTGAGGCAGGAGAATGCCAAAAGGTGGAACTCGTTACTGAAGTTGTTCAATAGGGTAATGGTGAATTATGCTGAAGTGGGTGATGTTCTTCGGAACAGGGCGAGAAACAAGAAGTTTCTCGTAAGTAAAATTAACCATGATATTTTGATTGAGTTATCTCGTTTTCTCCCCCAGTTTCAAGAAGCAACTTCGAAACTGGAAAAGTTTCTTGAACCAACACTTCATCTAGTTACTTTGGAATGACATGCATTGATGGGCACTGCGCAATTCACACAGGACATCACATGAATCGTGATGATAAGGGAAATGAAATCATTGTTCCTGCCAACTCAGAGCAAATGAAGGAAGTAAAAAAGTTGGTCAAAGCTAGGCTACCAGTTGTCCGATTGCCGGTTGTCCTGGCCGGACGTCCTGGCCAGAGTTGTCCGGGATCCCGGACAACTCGTTTTTCAAATTTGGGAGGCAAAAAAAAAATAAAAAAAATTGGTCTGTGCTGCGCATCACCAGGGGACCCCCCAAAACAAATTTGAGTCCATTCGGAGCAAAAAACCGAAAAAAAAACGAAGACGGTGCTGGGGGTCGCGGGAATCATCCCGGGAATGTGTGAAAGACCCGCCGCTGCAGCTGCTGCATATGTCCACACACTGTACGCACACACACACACACACACACACTATGTAGTATCTACCCATGCATGTGAGACGCACACACACACACACACACACACACACACACACCGAAACAGTTTTCACCTTTGCAGTAGCAGATGCAGATCCCAGGGCTCGATCCCTAGACCTCACCTCACCCGTGTACAGTACCCCTGTGTATTTGAACCCGTGACCTGGGTTTTAGGAGTTAGTTGTTCTCTGTCGTAGGTCGGTGTAGTTGTCGGGTGTAGTTGTCGGGTCTTGAACCGTAGGTCTGTCGAGTAGGGGTCAACATTGTGTAGAGGTCAAGGCCGTAGCTGCTACAGTCCTGAAGGGTCAAGGACGTAACTGCTACAGTTTCGAAAGGCCAAGTCCGCAGGCTTCCGGAAAGGTCCAGAAGTGGTCTTCCGAACGTTGCTCACAGCAGACCAGAGGCAAGTGGGCAAATGGTGAGTCCAACCTTGCTTAGTCAGCGGTACCCAGTCCCAGTCTCACTCAGTCCAGTCAGCAAGTACCATGTGGGACTGTGCGCACCATGGGCCCGGTGGAAAGTGGCAGACCAGCGACTTACAGAAGTCTAAATCAAGAGGCAGCGTCCAGCCATTCATTCATTCCTGCGTGAGCCATGCAGAAGCACTGCCCAGGTGTCTTGTGCGAGGTGGTCTGCAGATGCCCGAAGCCGAAGTGGGCTGTATGCACCATGGGCCCGGTGGAAAGTGGCAGACCAGCAACTTACAGAAGTCTAAATCAAGAGGCAGCGTCCAGCCATTCATTCATTCCTGCGTGAGCCATGCGGAAGCGCTGCCCAGGCGTCTTGTGCGAGGTGGTCTGCAGGTGCCCGAAGCCGAAGTGGGCTGAAGAAAGGAGATAGCGTCCAGTGTTAGTAGTAGCGAGCGGCCATAGCCGACATAGGTTAGAGATAGTGTTTCAGTGTGTAAGTGAGTGTGAGCGGAGTACATTGTGAGTGCGTGTGGGATATTCAGGGTGATCCAGAGTTGGGTGTGTGTGAACAGAGGTGGTGGACACTGTGTCGGCAGTGAGTTGTTCGGGCGCTCAGGCACCATATCCTGTTTGAAGCGAGTTTGCATCTGAACTGTGTTCTCGGTCTCCATATCTCTGAAGCTTTGTGTGGGCGCCTGGCGCCACTTTGGATTTCCATCTGTTTGCGTGCATGCGAGGAAGAAGAGGAAATCGAGTCTGATTGCACACACAATGTACTCACACACACATGCACACGCACATGGATTCTATCTACACACACACACACACACACACACGGACGACACTTGTCCAGGGCGTCAGGGACACAAACACACGCACGTTGTCCTCATCATCACCCTGTGACATGCATCCACGTACAGCAACAACAACCAGAATCAAAGACAACATTGAAAGGTGTGCTGTGAACAACAAAGGCGAACAATAACACAGAAAGAAGCAGAACATGCGCACTACCACTGCAGCAAGTTCACAGTGCTCAGCACAATAACGAACTGCATGTCTCTGTATCTCAATCTGTCTCACAATCTCTGTCTTCCACGCAGCACGGACTAAAGACGACACATAAATGAACCACACGCCACTACGACTGAAGATAACACATGCATCTTTCTATCTCTCTCTACCTCCCTCGCAGTCCCACTGACGCAGACACACACACGAATCAAGCAAACTACACCCCGAACGAAGACAGGCACATGCAGATCGACACACAAAATGAAGCACATATCGCTACTCTGCGTCATCCTTAGTGTCGTGAGAGCCATCGCCATCTCCACCAAAATCTCCACCCCTCAGACGAGCCTCCTCAGCATAGTCACTACCGGACATCTCATCGGAGGTGTTGCCATCATCATTCTCATCAGGATCGTCCTCGACCACTCGAGAAGAGACTTTTCGTCTCTCTCCATCATCTGCCCGAGACCTTGTGCACACACTGTTGACAATGCCACGTCCAGCAGGCAACCGCTTGGCAACATCGGGAGTCTCCATATCCACATCTGCCAATGCACTCAGTGCCCATGACTGCTGACGCTGTTCGCGCAATGCACTCAGTGCCCATGACTGCTGACGCTGTTCGCGGCCTTTGCCTGACCCACGTGGGCAGCCTCGAGGGCGACCAGTACTGACTTTCGATCGTTTGGCAGCTGGCTCACCACCTGCCTCATCCCCCCTCGATTTCCTCGTCCTCGTCTTTGTATTGTCAATGATAACAGACGACTATCGTGCAGGAAGCGCGGGCATGCCCAGCGGACTGATCGCACGAGTGCCAGTCCCCGGAGTGTTCAACGTCCCACGACACCGGACAAGACTGGGGCCTCGACTCAGCCTGGATGGCACAAGTGACTGCACAAAACAAGGAGGAGGTTGGTGAGGCATGCGTGCTGGATTGCCCGATGGTGAACGACTCGTCAAGATAGAGTTGTGTATCCCACCCTGTCTTTCATGACTGGACACGGTGTCCAATGCGCCCCTGCCTCTGCTAGAGGCTATCTCCCCTTCTCGCTGGCGTTGTGGTGGCTCCCCGACATGTGCCCCAACATCAACCCGTGTAGAGGATTGTGCACCACAAGGGGGCAACGGGGGAATCCCATAGAAAGAGTCTCGACTCAATGTGGTCTTTGGCGTAACACTCTCTTGCGGGTAAACCCTGCCCCTCTCCTTTGTCCTCTCCTCCGCCATCACACCACCCACATCATGCAGCATGCTCTCACCCATCATGCAACATGCTCTCACCCACCCCTTCAGCCACCCTCTCGTGGTCCAATCGCTGATCCACACTGACGTCCACCCTGACGTCGAGCCTCTGCTCAGCCCTCTGCTCCACTCTACAATCTCTAGACATGTGTGCCCTTTGCTCTATCCTCTGCTCCACCAATGCCTCCACCCTTTCTCCCAGTCTTTGCTCGGCCCTCTGTTCCACCGTTGGTGTAACGGCATCCCTGACCCTCAGCTCCACGCTCTGACCCGCTCTCTAGTATGCACCGTCCCAACCGTCTGCCGAACACTCTGCTCCAACGCAGACCATGCACCCTCCTCTCGCCTCTCTTGAACTGTGTCATCGATGGCGCAGTCCACCCTCTGATGCACTGTTTGCACCACAGTTCGTGTCGCCCACTGACGATCAGCGATCTGCTCCGCCACCTGCTCCACCCTATCAATGTCCTCCGTCCTCTCCAACGGCCTATCGTCCGCACTCTACTCGATCGTCTCGTGCACCCTTTGCTCAGTCCTCTACTCCGCCCTCTGCTCCGACCAATGCTGAGCATCTGCACTTAGAGATCCCTCGCTCAGACGCACATGGTCAGCGGCACGGCCGGGCGCTGTCCCTGCACAGGCATGCGCCTCTACGATTGTGGTGTTGCCAATCACCTTGGCCCCTTGATGAGATGACTCGGCACCATCATGGGTTCGAGAAGAGGAGGCTTGTGTGGACCCTGTTGCCCTCGCCTCTCGCAGTGGAGTCGATCCATGAACATCGTCATAGGAGCAATCCCTGTCCCGCTCCGCATCCTCTCTGGCCAACAACCCGTCAACATCGGTCTGACCTCCCACCCTCTCCCGCAGGTACCTCACTGTGCGGAAACTGTCGCCCACGTATGCATCGAAGTCCTCGTGAGGGTCTAGCCCCTCCCAATCATCGAAGACATCGTGCTGGTCCTCGTCAAGGGTCTTCCCTTTGTCCCTCTCTTGCTGCATGTGCTCCGCCATCTCACAAAGCATCCACGCGGCATCCACCCAAGGGCCAGGCTCATAATGACCGCCCGCATGGCGAGATGCAGATGTGACGTGATCACAACCGTCCTTATGACGGTTTGCTCGAGCGGCTGCCTCCCACTCCTCATCCGCATTGACTGGCAAGACATCTCCATCATCCACCTCCTCGGGGGGATCCTCAACCATGTCGGCCCACACATCGATGTAGCGACTCTCGGGCCTCTTGCTAGCGCTGATAAGCTGCATGTTCCAATGAATGAACACAAGCTTCTCCACAATCGTGGCGGAGAGGTTGTTGCGCCTCCGTGTGGATGAAATCATGAGTCGCCCAATTGCGTTCACAAGGACTCGCTGTGGACCCCACATGCTGAGCACCTTCTTTGCTATTGCTTGCACCCTTGGGTGCCTGCTGCTGCCACCACAATGCTGGGTGCATCGTCTTGCTGGCAGCGTCCCTAACTACAACCTCGTCTCACCAATGAGGACCGTCCACCGACCAATATCGAGGATCATCACAGTGGAAGGTCCATAATTCCTCCCACAAGTCTCCCAACGCCTTTTACTCCCAACCTCCATCCAACATATGACATAAATGATCAAGCGTACTTTGCACGGCGGGTGAGCTACGATCAGACAACAAAGAGATGTCACGTCGACGAGGATCCAACAAGTAAGCTGCTGCGTGTGCCGGCTGCCGCATCATCGCACATCTGTCTGCCACAATGTCGAAGACCACCTTCCTCTCGTCCCACAGGCCCAATACATCAATCTTCCTCCGCAAGATGGACTCCAAATACCACAACCCTGGGGGTAATGAACCATCGAAGTCCATAGCCCTCAAGAAAGTGTAGCAAGGCTCCATCACGTCCATCACTTTCTTGACCTATTGCCACCACCAGTCCGATCTGCGTACCTCCGGCTTGTCCACACGCGCGTCTTCTGCCCATCGAGCATCTCTCCAATGATCAGAAGACACGACCCCATCAAGCACCTTCCTCTTCAAGCACCTTCCTCTGCTCATATAGCCTCTCCAGCATCATATATGCAATCCTGAACCGTGTGTCAGCCAGGCGTGTCATGTCCAAGGTGCCTTTCGTGGATCAATGAATATGGAGCGCCTTTTGCGTTTCCACATGAACTTGATGATCTTATGCGCTCTCTTCATCACTTCAATGGCCCATGGCTGTGCCACAATATCTCTAAGCAGCAAGCTCGAGCAATGCGCCGCGCAAGGGATCCAAGGGATACATGCGATGGCAGGGTCCGGGTGGTCCTGTAGAATACTTGTTGCAGCCTTCATAACCTCCACGTTGTCTGTGCAGATGGCGTTCACATTCTCCACCCCTATGTCATCTCGTATCACCCCCTCCCATATCTCTGCCAAACTCACAACTGTCTTGTCTCGTGTCGACATGTCGATGGTGCGGTTAAGGATTGGCCCTGATTGCCCTGCTGCGATGAAGTTCATTATCGGCTTGTTGCGCTGGTCAGTGGCACCGTCAATTATCAAAGGTGCAACCGCTGTCCTTCCACTTTGCCTTCTTAGGGGCGATGAGTGCTGCAACCACGTGGTATATAATATCCATCATCCTCGTCCTCACTCCCTCGTACGAGAGCAGGCGTGGTGCTGGTACGATGGACGGTCGTAGGAGTGTGACAATGTAGTCCCAATAGTTTTGTGTCTCCTTCAGCCGTAGCTTGTTGAATGGCACGCCGCCACGGTCTATTGCAAGTGCCAACAAATGATCGAGATCATTTTACAACTTGTTTCCCAAAAACGGATCCAATGTTGTCCGTCTTCCACAGAGTGCGACCTGCGTGGAGGTAGTCGATATGGTAGGAGTCCACCCCCCTCTCGTCACCTCCATACCCCATACCGACGAGCGCTCGCAAACGCTTACGACGTCTCTCGTAGGACAGTTTTGTTGTCCACCATCTGGCCTTGCTGCACCTCTCCTGTCCTCTCCTCCATCCGTTCGTGTCTCCGTGGCGGCCGCATCAGCAGGCGCCACAGAGCCACGTCCAACCAGATCCTCCACGGCCAGCTCCTCCTCCATCGCATCTGCATACTCCGCGGCCAACCTCTTCGACATAGCGTCCCAAAGTTGTGCTCTGTGGCGCTGCAAGCGCCATAGTATCTGAACCGTCCGTCGAGGGAATTGCGCCTTCGTTTTCGTGAAGTGCTCCACTGCCCTTGATCAAGAACCGGGAAACACCTCGTCACATAGGCGGCAACGCATGAGGAAGTTTCCACCCCCCACCACACCCCACTCCTGACCTTTTAACCACCCACTGCCAAACCGCATGTGAACGCTTCAAGTCCTCTTGTTTCCAATCAAGAAGAGGCTCAAAGGGTGGGTATGCCGCGGGTCCGTGTCGTCTGCTCGTGGACGCCATGGTGTTTACCACCACGAGGCTGCAGCAAAAACAGCAACCGCTGATTGAATGGGTGAGGAGGGCAACAATATCAGGTGTCGCAATGGAAGCGACTGCGTGAGGCAAGCAACAAATATGGAAGTTGCAACAAATATGGTCGAGGAGTACAACGACGAAGAAGAAGAAGAGGTAGAAGAGGAGGACGATGACGAGGCGGAGGAAGAGGAGAAAGAGGAGAAGGAGGAGGAGGAGGAGGATGACAAAGAAGAAGAAGAGGAGGAGGACGAAGAAGAAGAGAAGGGTTAAGAGGATGCAAGTTGGAAAAAATGCTTGATTAAAAAAAAAAAAAAAAAAAAGGGCGGGAGGAACAGTGGAAGTCTCGACTTCCATTGTTCCTTCCACCCTCTTTTTTTTTTTCCAATCAATCAATCAATCAATCAATCAACCAATCGCTCAAATCGAACCAATATCGATCAATTGGATTTTCAAGATCCAATCCAATATATTGATTTCATTCGGATTGAACGATTGATTAATTGATCGATTCATTGATTGATTGATTGATTGATTGAAAACCGGCGGAGGAAGAGGAGCACAGAGAAGAGGAGAAGGGGGGGAGCCGGAGGACGAGGAGTACAGAGAAGAGGACGAGGACGACGACGACGACCAAGAATAAGAAGACCAGGAGGAGGAGGAGGAGGAGGATGAAGAAGAAGAGGACAAGGACGAGGAGGAGGAGGACAGCGATGGAGATGAAGAAGAGAAGGAGGAGGAGGACAAAGACAGCGATGGACGGCGCCGACGAGGAGGAGAAAGAAAAGGAGGAGGCGGAGGAGAAGGAGAACGAGGAGGAGGAGAAGAACTAGGAGGACTAGGAGGAGGAGGAGGAGGGGATGGAGGAGGAGGAGGAGGAGGAGGAGGATGACGAAGAAGAAGAAGAGGAGGACGGCGACGAAGAAGAAGAGAAGGGTTAAGAGGAGGAGGGGCGGTGGAAGTTGGAGAAAATGCTTGATTAAAAAAAAAAAAAAAAAAAAAAAGGGCGGGAGGAACGGTGGAAGTCCGACTTCCACTGTTCCTTCAACCATCTTTTTTTTAATCATCTTATACACATCTAGATGTGTATAAGAGACAGGTTAAGAGGAGGAGGGGCGCTGCAAGGTGGAGAAATTGAAAAAAAAAAAAAAAAAAAAAAGGGCGGGAGGAACGGTGGAAGTCCGACTTCCACTGTTCCTTCAACCATCTTTTTTTTAATCAATCAATCAATCAATCAATCGTTCAAATCGAATCCAATCAATAGATAGATTGGATTGGATCTTGAAAATCCAATCGATCGATTGGATATTGATTGGATTCGGATTGAACGATTGGTTGATTGATTGATTCATTGCTTGATTGATTGATTGAAACCAGGCGGAGGAAAAGGAGTACAGAGAAGAGGAAGAGGGGGGGGGGGGAGAGCCAAAGGCCAAGGAGTATAGAGAAGAGGAGGAGGAGGAGGACGACGACGACGACGGCCAAGAATAAGAAGAGCAGGAGGAGGAGGATGAGGAGGAGGACGACGACGACGGCCAAGAATAAGAAGAGGAGCAGGAGGAGGAGGAGGAGGAGGAGGAAATAGAAGAGGAGGAGGAGGAGGAGGAGGACGCCGAGCAAGAATAAGAAGAGGAGGAGGAGGAGGAAGACAACGATGGAGATGAAGAAGAGGAGGAGGATGAAGAAGAAGACGAGGACAAGGACGAGGAGGAGGAGGAAGACGACGATGGAGATGAAGAGGAGGAGGAGAACGGCAGCGATGGACGACGTCGAGGAGGAGGAGGTGGACTAGGAGGAGAAAGAAGATGAGGAGGAGCAGGAGGAGGAGGAGAAGGACTAGGAGGAGGAGGAGGAGATGGAGGAGGAGGAGAAGAGGAGGAGGAGGAGGAGGAGGAGGATGAAGAAGAAGAAGAGGAGGACGACGACGACGAAGAAGAAGAGAAGGGTTAAAAGGAGGCACATGGTGCAAGTTGGAAAAAATGCTTGATTTAACAAAAAAAA